TTTCCAGTAGTCATGTATAGATGTGAGAGTTAGACCATAAAGAATGCTGAGTGCCAAAGAATTGATGCTTTTGATCTGTGGTGTTGGAGAAGACTCTTTAGAGTCACTTGGACTGCAAGGAGATCCAACCAGTCAATTCTAAAGGAAATCAGTCCTGAATATTCATTGGAAGGACTGGTGCTGAAGCTGAAACTCCAATACTTTAGCCACCTGATGCAAAGAACTGACTAATTGGAAAAGACCCTGATGCTGGGAAAGATTGAAGACAGGAGGAGAAGCGGATGACAGAGGATGTGATGGTTGGATGGCATCACCAACTCAATAGATGTGAGTTTGAGCAAGCTCCAGGAGTTGGTGATGGACAGGGAATCCTGTCGTGCTGCAGTCCGTGGGATCACAGAGTCAGACACAACTGAGCGACTGAACTGAACTGATTCTGTATTCAGAAGTCCAGTGGATCACGTAGCCTGATGCTGTTTTGAAGACTGGCTTAAACTCCAGAGAGGGCTGACTCTTTCCAGTCCCCACTGAATGGCTGTGAGTACCTTCTGAGGAAAGGCAAGGCATTTTCCTGCAATGGCAGAGAAGTATTTGGCCTGAGGCTTCTACTTTTGTGACTCCCCATGACCTTGGCATTTCTGTTCTCTGTTCCTTGACCCTTCCTTCAGCTGGATGGGGCGGGGCCTGACAGCTAAAATAGTAACTGTTTTTGTTTTTTTTTTCCTCGTCTTCCTTGATTACCCATTACCTGAGATTAAGCTGCAGACTGTAGAGCTGGGCTAGGTCTGGGAGCTGGCTATGGAGAAGCCAGGCCCTTATCCAGCTAGGGATTTTGCTACAGAGGAAGCAGCATCTTTTACTTCTTGAGGTAGTCAGGGGATTTATGTTAACTTTGGAAAAAGTAAGCCTGCCAGGAGACTTGTGCAGATATTGTTTCCTTTGGTGTGTCCCAATAATTTACAAGGAGCCAGGCCATCTCCTCCCGAGCTGACTCACTCCTAGGGCCAAATGAGATCCAGCTGCTTCCGCAGCCATCTCCAGCCACCCGCCAGCCCTGCAGTGAGCAGCCCCCTGGGAAATTGAATCCTGAGCTTGGTGTGTGCATCCTCCTGACCTGAGGGCTCAACAGATCCCCTGCCAGATGCCCTCTTGAAGCAGCCAGGGGACTGAGAGTAAAGCCATCAGCTGCCCGTTGGGGTGACCAACCTTCCCAGTTTGCTGAGATGGTCTTTATTTTAGCACTGAATGCTCCATGTTCAGGGAACCCCGTCCAGGAAGAACTGACAATGTAATTTTGCAGGGCCTGATGCAAAACGAAAGTCCAGGGCCCTCGTTCAGAATGTCTGAAGAATTTCAGGACTGTGACCACAGGGCATTAACGGAAATGTGGTCTCCTTCTGAGTGTTGGACCCTGCACACGTCGCAGGCTCATGAAGCTGGCCCTGCTCACAGTTAAACCACGACTGCTGGTTACCTATTCCAGATGCAGAGTCCCGACGAGGAAATGTAGTATTATTTCCACAAGGTTGTTAGTTTCTCATAGCAACCTGTGCTGTTGAGACAACAGAACCTTACACTTCCTGAATTTTCTGAAACACAGACTCCAGCCCTTCAACGCCCTCCCGGCTGTCTACAATATTCTCAAATGTGAGTAATAATACAAAAATTGCAGACTCCTAGTATTGACCTAAATTATGTTTACTACTATATTGTTGTTTAAATATGTACCAACATAAAGCTTGGCATATAGTCTGTATGCTAATAGCTCTTATACAACAAAGGCCAAATTTATAAATTAAAAAAATGTAAGACTATGAAATCCATAACACTTAAATTAACAACATTAATTTAATGGGATGGATGATGCTGTTGTGCCAAAACTAAAGTGCCCTTGGCAGAGAGATTATGGCGCCCTGCTGGCTGCGGTGATGTAGATTCCTTCTCATGGAGATTCTGCTTTGTGCTCTGGTCCTGAGACATCTCAGTCCTCCCATCACTTTCCTCTCTATGAACAAGATGTGTCACCTTTTTTGAACATCATACCCTGACACTTTTGGAAACTCACCTGCTACAAAAACACCCCTGATGGATAAAATCCACCTTTGTTCTTTCCCCATTAATCCACGATGATGAAAGATATGCTAAGTGGTGCCAGTGGGATCACAAGTACTAATGCAAACACAGTTATTGTAATCCCATTGCTGTCCCAGGCTATAAGTGGGCCACCCAAATGACCTAAAAGTGCCCAGATTCATTTTTTAAACTTCACTGAACTAATAAGAACAAAAATAACTGGAATTTATTGAGCATCTACTGTGTGCCAAGCTCTGTTCTTAGTACTTGCCATATAGTAACTTACTTGATCCTTAAAATACAATAAGGCAGGCACTATTATTATTGTGTTAATGGCCCAGACAATCAGGACGGTATGGTCACTCACCTAGAGGCAGACATCCTAGAGTGTGAAGTCAAGTGGGCCTTAGGAAGAATTATTATGAATAAAGCTATTGAAGATGATGGAATTCCAGCTGAGCTAATTCAAATCCTAAAAGATGATGCTGTTAATGTGCTGTACTCAATCAGTTAGCAAATTTGGAAAACTCAGCAGTGGCCACAGGACTGAAAAAGATCAATTTTCATTCCAATCCCAAAGAAGGGCAATGCCAAAGAATGTTTAAACTACCGCACAATTGTGTTCATTTCACATGCAACCAAGGTAATGCCCAAAATCCTTCAAGTTAGACTTCAGCAGTATGTAAACTGAGAGCTTCCAGATAAACAAACTGGATTCAGAGAAGGTAGAGATCAAATTGCCAACCTCTGTTGGACCACAGGAAAAAAAGGGAATTCCAGAAAAAGATCTACTTCTGCTTCATTGACTACACTAAAGCCTTTGATTGTGTGGATCACACACACTGTGGACAATTCTTAAAGTGATGGGAATACCAGACCAACTTACCTGCCCCCTGAGAAACCTGTGTGCAGGTCAAGAAGCAACAATTAAAACTGGACATGGAACAACAGACTTGTTCAAAATTGGGGAAGGAGTACATCAAGGCTGTATATTGTCACCCTGCTTATTTAACTTACATCATGTCAGATGTGGGGCTGGATGTTTCACAAGCTGGAATCAAGATTGTCAGGAGAAGATCAACAACCTCAGATAATGCAGATGACACTACTCTAATGGCAGAAAGTGAAGAGGAAATTAAAGAGCCTCTTGATGAAGGTAAAAGATGAGAGTGAAAAAACTGGCTTAAAACTCAACATTCAAAAAACTCAGGCCATGGCATCCAGTCCCATCACTTCATGGCAAATAGATGGGGAAAAAATGGAAACAGTGACAGATTTTATTTTCTTGGGCTCCAAAATCACTGTAGACAGTGGCTGCAGCCATGAAATTAAAAGATGCTTGCTACCTTGGAAGAAAAGCTATAACAAACCTAGACAGCATATTAAAAAGCAGAAACAACACTTTGCCAACAAAGGTCTCTATGGTTTTTCCAGTAGTCATGTATGGATGTTGGACATAAAGCAGGCTGACTGCTGCAGAATTGATTCTTTCAAACTGTGGTGTTAGAGAAGACTCTTGAGAGTCCCTTTGGACAGCAGGAGCTCAAACCAGTCAATCCTAAAGAAAATCAACCCTGAATGCTCATTGGAACGACTGATGCTGAAGCTGAAGCCCCAATACTTTGGCCACCTGATGGGAAGTGCCAACTCACTGGAAAAGACCCTGATGCTGGGAAATGTTGATGGAGAAAGGAAAAAGGGGTGGAGGATGAGATGTTGGATGGCATCACTAACTCAATGGACATGAGTTTGAGCAAACTCCAGGACATAGTGAAGATAGGGAAGCCTGGCATGCTGCGGTCCATGGAGTCATAAAAGATTAAGACACGACTTAGCAACTGAACAGCAAATGACGATTATTATTGCCATATTACAGATGAGAGAAATGAGTCTCAGAGAGGTGAAATTAACTTTTCTCTAATTATCCCATCAGAAGGTTTCTAAGAAAAATTCTCAAAGTGAACTCACAGACTCCAGGCTGGGATCACTAGTTCAATTACTAGTTGAATGAAGTTCAGACTCCTGAGTTTGCCAATAAAGGACCTCCTTTATCTTGCCTGTTGACCTCCTCATCTAAACCTCTTGCTGCTCCATCTCATAACATGTCTTTACTGCTGGGCTAGTGAAACTCCAAGAGGGTATCAAGCTCTGCCACACTTCTCTTCCTTTTGTTTAAAGGTCTTCCTTCTGGTACTGAATCTCAAGTCTGTGTGCCTGATGCATAGTGAGGCCCATCAATATCAAAACATTATAGAGTCTGGAAGAGAGAAAGATTTATTACAGATTTATACAAGGAGATGGGTGGCTCATGGCCTAAGAACCCCAAAGTTACTGAAACCTTTCGGCAAGGCCCTTTAAAAGCAAAAGGTGATGGGGGCAATGACTGGCAACTGTCAATGAGGAGCCATTGGGGAAGTGATTCAGTCAAGGGTCAGTCGTGTGGCGGTCATCAGGTGGAGAGTGATGTTAGCGGCAGATTCAGGCCTTCTCCCAGAGGCTCTCCAGCTCATGCAGCCTTGAGCCAGTGGGTGAGCTGGAACAGACTGGAGACTACATCCTGCAGGGCTCCAGAGCCCTCACTAAGACCCCCCACTAGCCTTGGCCCAGGCCTTGAGGCAGCAGTGAACCTTTCCCTCCTGTCTCACTGCCGTTAGTTGTTGCTAACTTCTTTGGTGTCAGAACCTTTGTTCTTGAGGTCAGGTCATGGTCAGGTAATGATTTTCCTGTAAATCTGTACAAAACAAGTGCTATTCTCTGTTCTGACCGAGAAAGGACAAAGTCCCAAGGCACAGCTTTCACCCTCCAAGGTTCCAGTCCTGGTTAAGTGCAGGCAGATCTCAATTGGCAGCTCCTTCAGGGCAGGTTCCCACCTCACGCCCAGCTGTCGTCCCTGAGGGAGCCAGGCGCCCAACCCGACTGGCCCTCAGTCTCCTCAGGCCACCTAAACGGGGAGACCGGTTTCACAGACTGTGCCCCCAGCACACGGCTTCTGCTATTAGGTCAGAGAGACAGGAGTGAGGGAGAGTTTCACCGCTGCCGCAAGGCCTGGGCCCAGGCTAGTGGAGGGCCTTAGTGAGGGCGCTGGGCCCCGGCAGGACATAGTCCCAGTCTGTTCCTGGGCCCTCCAGCTCACATTGGCCCAAGGCTGGGTGAGCTGGAGGGCCTCTGGAAGAAGGCCTGAATCTGCCTCTAACCTCAGTCTCCACCTGATGACCGCCACAGCACTGACCCTTGACTGAGTCACTGGTCCAGTGGTCCCTCACTGACAGTTGCCGGTAGGCAAGGCCCACCGCAGCGCTGACCAATAACTGAGCAGGGCAACTAAGGATCGCTGATTGACAGGTGGCTGCTTCTGGGCGGGGCCCACTGAGAGACCAAGCAATGGCTGATCAAGACCTGTTGCCAAGTAATACAGTGTGGAATAATGAGGCACAGAAATAGCTGCGTGCTAAGGGCTGTGCTCATCCTGCCCTGCTACACTTCTGCCTGGAATGCTCTTGCCCTCTCCCTCCTGGAAACCCCCTGCATGTCTTCAAGATGCTCAGTCTCACCTCTCTGTGATGCTGTTCCCAAATAAGGCAAGGCTGATACTCTTTTTTTGGGTTCCCACAGCACCAAGGTCTCACCTTCCCAGAGGCACCATTAACCTCCTCACAGCCGCTGTACTGACAGCCCCAGGGAGCCGAGGAAGCCAGATCCTCTTCCTTCTGCCCAGAGATTTAAAACTAATGAGAACTTGGGGTCAAGACAATGCTGTGATAGCAGCCAGTATGGATTTATTTAGTGCTTACTTTGTGTCAGTAGCTGGTCTAAGGCCTTTTGCACATTTCACCTTATTTCAAACTCAGCAATCCTACATGGTGGGTACCACTGTCTCCCTAGTTTAAGACAAGGAAGCTGGTGCACAGAGAGTATGACCACATCCCTACCATTGTATTAACAGTAACAGTGGCAGTACCACGATGTGAATCTGAGTCCATGCCCTGAGTCATGGTGCCTCTTTTACTACTCCAGGAGACCTGGGGCTGGGGCTGGCATCGTGGTGAAAATCTGGGCAAGGTGAAAATAGAGAAGGATTAGGAACCAGTGGGAAAGGAGAAACTAGTTCCTGGTGAGTAGATAGAGGCACTAATAGGACAAAAGCCAACATCAGGGAGACAGGCAGAGAGTCCTCTGGCCTTAAACTGCTGGTGCCCAGCTGCTACTCATGGTGACCTGCTGGACATCTCATCTTGCAGTCCAGGAGTTTCCCAAGTACGTTTTCCACTGATGTTTTAAAAATCTGACTTAGATTGGGTGCTTTTTTTCCTTTGCTATCAATACTAAAAAAAAATAAAAAGACTAGAAATCCACCCACCTTGTGAAGTCTAAGTTCCTTAGAACTCATATGCATTTTTTGCTGTACCTAAAAGGATGTTCCCCTGTTAACTCACTGTGTGATATTTGGGTCATATTTATACAAATTTTTCTGAGCATAGGTATATCTCATGCATTTAGAACATATTTATACTAAAAACTTACTTGTTTATATTAAATTTAGATGTAATGGGGTGTTCTGTGTTTTAAGGGCTTCC